GCTCCTGTCAGCGTGGGGAGCGGCGCGCGGCCCGGAGGCGGGCTGCTGTCTTGCCGTCCCCGTCCTTTGCAGAGGCGCCTTCTTCGTGGAGTCTGTTGGCAAACTCTGCAAGCACCGAGCTGTAGCCGAGCTGACCAAAGTGCTAGATGTGTGGTGCTGCTGGTGGTGGTTTTTGGGGTTTTTTTTGAAGAAGCGGTTGTGGATATAAATTCATTTTCCAAATCTGTTAATCCAGAGTCTCTAACGCTTCTACCCAAGCCTCATAATTAGTCATGTTTAACACACGTGAGTGTACCGAAAAATCTAGACAAAAGTAAGTGGGCTAGTAAGGGGGTTTTGAAATGTGGAGAAGCTCTTTGAAAGCAGCCTCATTGTTGACTGGCATTACTACTGTTTTCTGACATCTTTTACAAATATGATACTTATCTTGAATCTTTGAAAATTCTTTAAATTCTTCCTCTACTGTATGTCTATATCCAATTTTTACTATTGTGCTGAGTCATCCTATGCATAACTGTCCTCTCAGTTGGGCTTGGTACAGTCTGGCAGGACAAATGACCCAAGATTCCCTCCAGAGCACCTTGCTTTTGTAGGTCCAGAACCATGATACTGCAGGTTTTGGCGTAACAGAAATAAGACAAAATAGGCAATGCTGTCATTTCTCATACATGTTTTTACTGAGAATGTTCTGTGGAACAGAAAAGGCAAAAAGGTGTACTAGAGGAAAAAACGATGCAGCCCAGACTGAAGTGGTGGGAGAGTCACCTTTTGCTTAAGCATGTGTTGAACACTGTCTGCTTTTATATGGTGAACAGAGACCCTGGAAATATGAAATTGGCTTCATCTGCCCTGTAAGCCATAATTTTAAGATTGTATTTCCCTGTTCTAGCTAGTCTGTTATAGGGCACTATAAAAATATCTTAAATGAACGAAATCTTACCCAGAGCTTTTATTAAAGTTAAAAAAAAAGTTCAGTTATAATTTTTCATAACTAGACCAAGGGAGTGCTTTTCATCTGAAACTAGCAGAAAAATCTGGTAACCATTTTTTTGAGAACAAACGGCATTGTTAGAATGTGAAACTCAATCATTACTAACTTCATTTTAGCAATTGCACGTTGACCCTGCCAGACCCAGTCTGGCTCCTGTAGAGCCACTGCGTCTGCAGTAACCTTAGGTTGGAGGCAGTGCCAGACTTAAGCTGGCACTTGTTGAAAGTTTGTTTGATTTTTGCAAGGGAAGGAAGTGTTAGCTGGCTTAATTTTCTACTGGTTTCACTCCTTGAACCAACATGGTCTTCAAGGATCACAGAAGCACAAGGGAAAGAAGCAAAAATGCAGGTGTTAGCTGGGAAGGGCAGGATTGCAGGAGTCCTGGCTTAGATTTGCTTAACATTTCAGATTGACACCCTTAGGATTATGATGCAGGAGTGGGGACAGCTTACCTTGGTATGGTCACAGTGATTTCTGTTCTCAGCTCTCTGTGCTGCTTCTCTTGTCTCAAATTGCAAATCTAGGGCTAGGATAGGAAAACTGCTTTTATAGTGACTCCTAGCCTGCCACAGCTTGCTGCCCTGCATATCGAGGTGACCCCAAATCAGTTTGCTTTGATGTACCATGATACAAGTTGAAGCAGTTTGGCTGAATCTTCCCCGCAGCTTGGCCCTTAAATGCTGTGGAAATATAAGTTACAGGAACAGACTGCCTTACTTTTATCTCAGTGAGGAAAGGGCAACTGTTTCAGAGTTTCTGTCCTCTGTGTTCTTTATTACCTGAGAAAATGAGGAATGTCTGGGCAGATGAATCTAAAATAGAAGTACCGGTCATATCTGGCAGAGAAAGCAAAAATACTCAAATCTAAATTCCTGTAGCAATTATGTTTCTGTCTTCCAGGAAAATATAGTCCAACTAGTGACATGTAGGCCAGATCCAACCTGCAGGACACTTTTTTTTAAACTATTACCTTTTCTTTGGAGGAGATGAAGATGTGTTTGCTCCCATAATAGTTGAACACTTTCTGTTATGCATGGTATGTGCACATATGTCTATGGCAGCCGATGTTGGGGCAAAGGAGAAGCAAAGGCATTTTTCCACTGTATGTGTGTGGCACAGTACTAAGCTTGCAAGTTGTCATTTCTGTATCTTACTGAGTCCTGAACCTGCCATCCAGTCCTATAGCCACAGACTGGAGTGCATAAAGATGATAAATATTGTTCCATGTTTATCTAGTCATTTATATTATCAAATTGACCAATAAGTTTGCATGTGTATGTAACTCTTGTGAAAATTACATGCAGATACTTATTAAGGAAAACTACTATATAAAAAGTAGTAGGAGGTGGGGGTTGTGGTGAGAGATGTACAGCCTAAAAAAATCAAAATTGTGAATGATTTCCTTAAAAGGAGATGCTGACATCTGAAAAACAAAGTCCTGTAATTAGGGTTTGGCTTTGTGCTTGCTCTGGTCTTAATATGCCTGAGTGCCTTGGCACAAATTGGCTGGTTGTTGTATCTACAAAATGGAGAAGGCTTTTTTTCAACAGAAGTTATGACAATACCAAAGCAATGGAAAATAAACAAAACTTGTTGGACAGTTTGTAGTCCTTCTGATCTCTTTCAGATATATATTTCATTGTCATGTGCACTGTTTTAAAATTTAGGGGGGGCTATTTAATGTTAGAGGGCTGAACTAGAGATCAAAACTTGGGATTTCTACATTTTTAAATTGGTTTTAGAGTTTGTATTTTCCTCTGACAAACCTATTCTTAAGATGGAATCCTGAGAATCACATTGAGTCTTGTTCTTGTTTACTTTTAGATGCCTGTCTTAGATGTCAAGCTGAAAACAAACAAGAAGATTGTGTTGGTATGTAATGATTTCATTCGCTTGTTTTTCAATTGAAGCTTCTCTCAGTAGGGTGCATTTTAAAGTTTGAAGGGAATACTGATTTTATTAATGCTCAAAAGTAAACTGATGTTTTGTTCTACATTGTGTCATCTTTTTACATTAGTAATACTTTATGCTTTATTTCTGAGCACTAATAAAATTAGTTTTCACTTCAGACATGCTGTAGAACAAAACAGCTTCAAATTTGCAGTCAACACATAGGCAACTGAGAGGTTTAAGTTTCTCTCACCCTGAGCAGAATTGGGGAGATGATAATGTACACTTTTGAAGTGGGTAGGAAAAGGCTACTTTTTTTTCTTCTGAGATGCATGCCAGAAGACACAATGGAAATACCAATAAAAATCCTCTGTTCAGAAATAAATGTGTCTGGGTTAGAAAGCAGTATTTTTCCCAGTCTTAATTCAGACTTAGTGGAGGCAATTGCTTGTTTGTTCACTTTTCATTTGAAAAAGTGGAATCACTTGTGTTTGCTATAATGCTGTTTAAGCATAAACATACTTTCAATTGCATACCAATGTATGCAAAAGCAAATCTTAACTTAATTCCAATATATTTAAATTGGAAATAGTGAAAATTGTTTCAAGGAGTTTGTTTTAAACCTTTAAGTCAACCAGTGGTAAACCTTTCCATGCCCTTGTTCTTTCTGTTTTGAAGTATATTGTCTCAAACTTAATCTGCTGTTGTTTTTGATGATTGTTTTAATGAGAACAGGAATTTCCTGTTCCAGATATCTTAATTGGCTTGCTAAGTGTCTTATTTAAGATAGTCAGAGAGAAAAAAAAGCGTAATTTACAACACTCCTTTGATTGGTGCCCTTGTATTCCAATAAGGAAAATGTGAATTAATAAGGGAAAAAAGCAAAGTAACTAATACTATTCAGGAGTAGATGGACAATAGATAACCCTTTTTGTTGTGTTGAAACAATTGTAGCCTCTGAATAACTTCTCATCTAAGATCCCATTTTAAGGCTATGTACTGTGTCAGATGTGCCTGCTTGATATCATACGTTTAAGTTTAAACATGCATGTCAGATGAGAATTTGGTGATATGCTCTTGTGTGATAGCCAGTCAGTAGTGCATTGGCTATATTTTGGTACTGGGGAAGATAAAGTGAAGAACTTAGATAGTTGCACTTATTTCCTGGACAGAAATGATAAATGTGTTTATACATTCACAAAACTGCGTCACTTTATACAAGAATGTGAGAATATATGCATTTCTTTTTTCATAATTGGAAATAAGTAAAAGGATTGATGACAGAACTGACTATCATCAGAATGACCATAATGATCCAATCTCAGTGGATAAATCAGTCTAAATTTTGTCTCTAAAGCTTGCAGGTTATAAACACCTGAGAATGATAGCTTGGACCTTGCTGTAGGTGTTGATTGGACAGCTGAGCGTGACTGGAACATGTTCTTTCTTCTCTTTCAGTGGTTTGGGGAGAATGCAATCATTCCTTCCACAATTGCTGCATGTCCTTGTGGGTGAAACAGAATAATCGCTGTCCCCTCTGCCAGCAGGACTGGGTAGTCCAGAGAATAGGCAAATAAAAACACTGGAAGTTTTTTTTCTGTTGAACTTGTTGAAATAGTGTATGTCTTATGCCATATGCTCACACAAAAGAATGGAACATGTCAATCATGGCATGATTTTTTTTTAGTTTATCTGTTACAAGATCAGTGTGGTTTTGTTGTATGCTCTTTGCTGTACGAGGAGGCAATGGTCAGTCTTACAGTCTTACTGCAGATATTTCCACAATTGAAAAAAGAGAGACACTACATTAACAAATGTATCTGTTACGATTTGAGTTTTACCTGTATCAGAGCATAGAAATGTGGTGGTGCAGATTATACCTTAAATACAATTTATTTAATGTTTTTGCATGGATAAATGAATTAATTTGGAAGGACGACCTTACCTGTAAGTCTGATACGCTGCATAGTTTACTGTCAGGATAAAGAGATTGTTTTCTAAGTAATATTGTATACAAAAACACAGTTGGTGAGTTTTTTAAAGTGTTCTGTTTTTTTAATCTAAAATGAGTAGTGTGTAAAGCATTTGCTATGTGCTTTTTCCATCACACTATACTAAACGTTTCTAATTTAGGTTTTCTTTATGACTTTAGAAAATTTTGTTTTGTTGTATCTCTAAGTCTGTTGCTGTATTATATTCTATACATGATTTCTACAACCATAGTATTAAAATTTAACCACATTAATAATTCTTTTATTTATATTTCTGTTAAAGATCATAGAGACATATTTTTAATCCAGAGACTTTTGGTACAAAGACACATATTTGATATCAGTTAACTAGGGGCGTAAACAATCTCGCTGGTTAGCTGACTAATATAGAAAGCAAACAAAACTAATAATTTAAATATCCCAAGAAAAGCAGGTACTAACTAAATCTAGAGAAAAATGTTAAATTGTGGTTTCATAAAAATCTGGTTAATAGAAATTTCTTCATCATCATTTTATGGGTTACAATGTTTTGGAAGTGGGAGAAAGCATTGTTTCATTTTTGTGGAAATCCTCAATATATCCTCTTTTTTATATGAATCGTGATTTTTTTTTTTTTTTCCTTTTTTTCCCCCTTACAGATATTTAAGTGCTTGCCTCTGACTTTGTCTTTTCCCTAAATATCCGAAGTAATTGCTATTAATCTGAATATGTGCTGTGGGGGTTTTTTTTAATACATGTAATAGAGAGGTTGAATTACTGCTTTAAGTCTGTAACAAATTCAGGCTTAATAAAATTGTTAATAAACCTGGGCGGAATGGAAGCAATATTATATGCATATCATTGTTTACTTCAGAATTACCATCTTAAATGTTTAAGATTAATGCATTTCTCAGCAGATATATTTCTATCTAGTTCTGTTTATTTTAAGTATATTTAAAGAGGTTTATCTTCACTGTATAAAGTAGTTTCAATGGCAATCTTCGTATCATCAAGCATACATGCAGTTTACTGTGTTTAATACTTGTAGTCTTGTTTTTAAAATGTTTTGAATTTTTTAAATCTAGCTTTTGTCTTATTACACACTGAGATCAAAAAAATCCTCTGTCACTGTTATGCCCTGTTATCACATCAGTTGTTATCATCCCACATGATGTCTGTCTTAAAATTGAAAACAAATATAAAATAGCTTAACAGTAGTAATGAAGTGCCTATAGCATTTACATTGTTGTGAAGTATTTCTGTTTGTGTAAAAGGATTCTTCCTAAAATGATTGCAAAAGAAAATCTAGCTGGATGTGGAAATAATTTTTAGCTGTCAAAGTTAAGCTATATCTTATCTATCACCTCTTTTCTCTGCCGGAATTTGGTCCCAGGCTCCATCCTCTAACCTCTATTAATTCCATCTAGTCCCATCAGAGGACTTCTTTCTTCATTTTGCTTTGGTTTATAGGTGAATATGGGAAGTACCAAAGTAATTTTCACCCTGCTTTCAGTTCACGTCACGTGCATGACAAGAGTAGCTGAGAATTATAATTGTAGAAGGGTTTTCCAAAGTGTTGGCTCAAACAGGTGTTAAAACAAATGAGGTATTAGGAAGGTTAATTATGAAATCAAAGCAGCTAATATTTGTGTATATCTATTTGTGTATTATAAGTATCTTGTTGACCAGTAATTCATCTAGAATATAAGGTGATGAATTTTAAGTCCTGCATATTTCCTCTGTGATTTAGAGAAGATTAGCTTACGTGCCAGTCTTTCTATGAGCTTTGCACCAGAGAATTTTTCTTCTGTTCCAAATCATACCCTGATATTCCATTAGCGTAGTTCTTAATAAGTACCCATTTTCAGTCCTGAATTTGTTCACCTCTTGTACATGCAAAATAAATCAGTTTTGCTTCTCATCCAAACATACTGTTTTATGAGTAGGTAACATTAACATTAACATTAAACAGCCATTATCGACTAATAGATTAATGCTGATCTACTTTTCTCCACTGTTTAGTAAATGCTGGGCAGATTTGGATAATTCAGCATATCTAACGAGAGTATTCTCTCAAAAGTGACTGGAGTAATGAATATGTGTCCAAAGATCATATTGTTTCACTTTGCTTTTTATGAAGTTATGTTCTTTTAGGGAAAGCTTATGTTCCGAGAAATCAGGAGAGGTTCTAGTTAACAGAGCAGAATGATTTTTGGAGTTGTGAATGTCTTTCTTATGCAGATACCATAAACATTAGGTATTTTCTTGATTTGCTTAGACATGAATATATCAATAGCTGGTGTAAGCTTGAGTTCACGAAGGTCCCCAACTACCGGCCGTTCTTACTGCTACTGTTTGAGCTGTGGTGGCGGTCTTGCTACATGTAAAAAAGACCCTGCTGAATTTTAGGACCTGAAATTAAAGCTTTTATTACCTCCTTTCTTGCATTTCTGTACCCAGGATATTAGAGGATTATGTTGCTGTGGGCACCGTTTTCAGGAAAGCTACCAGCAGAATTCCTCATTTCTTCCTTGGACTTTTTTCAGTTTTGCTTACTCTGCTGGCTGCATTATTTAGCCCTTTATGTAACCTTCTCCTGCCCCGTGCTTGCATTCACCTGGCAGAATTAGCAATTGCTGCACAAACAAAACTTTCAAATACTGTGCTTTAGAGTACACCGCGTTCTCATGCACTCATAGCAGTTTGTGATGGATGGCCCTCTCAATCACAGCTAGAAAAACAGTCGCACCTCTAACATGATTTTGTAGACTAGAAGCATGAGTTATATGGCAAATGTATTCAATGCAGACAGGATTAAGCACGTAAAAACAAAATACTGCATAGTAGTAGAGTGACAAAAAGCAGCCAAGAAGGGCTCAGCACTTACTGTAGGGAGTCTGAGAGGTGCCTATTGTTACTTCTAATGTTTAGCGTTTATGATTCAGCTCTTCAACTTGCTCTAAGAGTGAAAAAAGAGAAAAGGAAACTTGACCTTGACCTCAAGAGTACAGCTTGACCCCATTGCTAGTGGAAGAATCATGGAACTGCTTTTCCTGTTCCCATAATACCATCCTTAAAGAAAATTTTAGCAGCCAAATCACATGACCCCACAGCAGAAGGGGGCTTAGCCTAGTAAGTGCCACACATGATTTTTATTCTTTTGGGAAAAAAATGGGGCGCAGCGTTCCTGGTGCCTACCAGGCAGTGAGTGAAGTCAGGTGGAATTTGCCTTCACTTCATTATAATCAGCTTTGTCCCTTTGTTGATGCCACCTCAGCCATACGCTGTTGCCACCTTCTCATCTTGCCACTTATTGTCATAAAGCTCAGCAGGGAAAATAAACTGTGGCCACATAACATATGGAGGTGTCTTGGCAACATTTGGCTGGTCATTTGAAGTGTTCTTCCTTTTTCTGTGGGTAGGAGATGAAGTCAGAACTATTATATTGTTTCGTATATAGGGATCATTATTTTTAGACCAGCAGCAGGTCTTAGCCTCTGCACGTAATCTGCTTAGGCAGAGCCACATGAGGCATCAAGGTTTGCATAAAGTGTGGAGCTCAGAGTCGCTGATGTTGAGTATAACTTGAGTTTTGGAAGTATGGATGCTCAAAGCACTGAATTGTGTGATAATTTAAAGCTCAATGACTCGTGTTCATCTGTGTCAACTTCTGTTTCAGGCATGGCAGATTTTTGATAAAAGCTTTTTATAAAACCAGATCCCAACTTGTGTAATCTTAGTACATTGGTGTTCTCTGTGTTGAGTGAGGGAGATACAAGGCTGTCCTGTTAATTGTGGCCAGAGTGCCACTGAGTTTGGAGTGTAATGCCTGCATGTTCTCAGCGTTCAGGGACAAGTGCATGTAGAGGGAATCTTGGTACATTTAAAGGTTATCAGGGCCCGTCCTGAAAAACACTAGCTGAACGGTGTGCGTTTGGTGCTGCCAGTGAGAAGGTTTGCCTAGGATGTCATCCCTCAGCTATACATAGCAAACTCAAAGCTCCTTACAGAGAAACCTCTTACCAGTCACTTTCCACAAATGGTGCATATACCTAAAGGTACTTAGTGAAAATCCTTCAGAGGTATTTAATGCAAAAGCAGTTAGTCTCACTGGTGTTTTTCAGAAGCCCACACACACCACGAGCAGGGAGAAGTGCAGGGCAGCTACAGCACAGCACTTGGGCCGGTTACTCTTTTTGTCTCAACCAGGCTCTGCCACCCCAAGAGCTTGTCAAGATGTGTGACATGGGGGGGCTTGACAACCTGATTGCCAACACAGCCTATCTGCAGGCAAGGAAGAGTGGTGATGGAGACACCAAGGAGATGCAGAAGAGACGTAAGAGCCTCACACTGCCCAGGATTGATCAATGCAGTGAGGTTAGACAGTCCGTTGTTGCTGATTATGACAGCATCTGTGAGCAGCAGCCGATTGGCAAGAAAATCTTCAGAGACTTCTTGGAGACAGTGTCAGAATATTTGGTAGCTAGGGACTTCCTGGATGAGGTGTCAAACTGGGAGTTGGCAGAGGACAATATCAAGAGCAGTACCATGGAGAACATGATCACCAATTTTCTTAAGGCAGGCTCCAAAAACTATCTGGCTTTCATGAGCTCTGACTTGGCCAGCAAATGCCAGGCAGCTACTGCAAAAGACTATGAGAGTATCATGCAGCTGGCCAAGGAGGAAACCAAACTCTTCCTTAAAGGCAAGCCCTTCCAGGACTTCCAAACCAGCCCCTTCTATGACAAATTCCTCCAATGGAAAGTTTTTGAGAAGCAGCCAGTAACTGAGAAATACTTCTATGAGTTCCGAGTGCTGGGCAAAGGTGGCTTCGGAGAGGTAAGAGCTGTAGTTTTAAGGATGTGGGTCATCCCCTTTCAAGACCAGCAGGTGGGTTTGCAAAAAGGAACTTGGCAATGGATTAAGAAATTGTCTAAAGTTTTGCAAAACTTCCTCCTTCAGGTTGTCCATTTCCCAGAAATTAGGCTGTGTTTGTTATCTGTGCTGTGATACAGGCTCCAGATGCCTGTTAGTGAAGAGCTACTCTAAAATTTTTATATTCTGTATCTATGCTAGTAAAAAAGCAGGCTTCTTTACAAAAGCTTGCATGACTGTCCGTATAGTTAATTATTAGTCTGCTCCTTGGCACTGTTTTAGCCTGTGCTAGCTCACACACTCCCAGATAATTCCTAGGTGCAGTTTAGGGAATAGCACAGATCAGGATCTGTTCCCAAAACACAGCATGAATAAGGCTACCTTTTTCTGAGATGGAAGAGAGTTTAGCTATACAGATGCAAGCTGTATATGCCACTTATTCTCATAGTCAGAGAATGGGTCCTTGTTCATTCTATTTGCTGATGCATGTCTACTAATGGTGTCCTCAAGAACTTTGCATAAGGTCCACCATACACTGGTCCGGAACAGAACAGTATGCTTGGTTTTTTCCTTATTTTCTCTGCTAATATGCTCTGCCACAGAAGTTAGCGTCAGCAGCTACTAATAGGCATCTGTGATTCCCCAGTTCCTGCCTATTACTGCCCTTGATATTCCAGTCTGTATGTGTAAAATTCCTTCATTACCTTTCCTCATGCTTCTTGCTTCTCTAGGTTTGTGCCATCCAGGTGAAAAATACTGGCAAGATGTATGCCTGCAAGAAACTGGATAAGAAAAGGTTGAAAAAGAAAAGTGGAGAGAAGATGGCACTACTGGAGAAAGAGATCCTGGAGAAGGTCAACAGCCCTTTCATAGTTACACTAGCTTATGCCTATGAGAGCAAAAGCCATCTGTGTCTTGTCATGAGCCTCATGAATGGAGGGGATCTGAAGTATCACATCTATAATGTGGGAGAAAGGGGTTTGGAAATGAACAGGGTCATCTATTACTCAGCTCAGATCACTTGTGGGATTCTGCATCTCCATTCCATCAAGATTGTGTACCGGGACATGAAACCAGAAAATGTCCTCCTGGATGATAACGGTAATTGCAGACTGTCTGATCTTGGGTTGGCAGTGCAAGTCAAAGAGGGAAAAAGCATCACTCAGAGGGTGAGTACAAATTCATTGAACGTGGGCAGTGGGAAGGGAAGCTGTTCTATTTCTAGTGCATTATGAGTCCAAGACTTAATTCCCCGGGATTTGTTCTTTGTTAAAGACCTTACGTGGTCATTTCATTCTAAGATGGTAAGGTGGTAAGAAGATTTGGTTAATTAACTCTCTTAGATGCTATATGTAGTAAAATTAACATCTCTCAATGCAGAAACAGTAGAATCGACTTCTTGTTTCTCTTAAGATAAACTCTTGAACCAATCATTTTAGAGAGGCTAACACAGATGCTTTGTGCCTTAAGCAATAGTGCATAGTCAGGGATTTAACCAATTGTTTCTTCAATGAGCAGCAAAGATACGACTCCTTCTGTATTCAGTTTTTGCTCCTAGAAGAATACAGTTTCTTCCAGATTACTCTTAAGTGATGCTACTGATCATATGGCAGGTATTCATGGTGCTGCACAATAAACCATTGCCAAAGTTCCTCCCTCCACAAATTAATTCCTGAAAAAGTTAGCACACTTGATGACAGTTTGCAAATGTACATACCTGTGTGCATGTGTAGGAAGAAAGAGATGGATGACCAACTGGTTTTTGCCATGTGAATTAGACTGTGCAGCACTTCAGCTGTGCCTGTGGTCATCCCAAACTAACCCAGATTTGTAGTAATGCCATGAGGTTTACACAAGAAAGATGTATTCAGGTAGCTTAACTATGAAAAAAGCGTATTTCTCCCAAGGTGTCTGGAGCTTAAAGATGTATATAATGAGTGAATGTGTCTGAAATACACTAAGAATATGAAGAAATGGAAGTGACATTATAAAGTGGTCTAACTGTGTTATGTGAAACTCCCCAAGTCTTTCAAGTTACTCTGTAGAAATTCAGTAGCAGAGAGAGGACCTGCTAGTAACCTTTTGCGTTATGCTTGAAGTACACACGTCTTTTGACGTTGTTACTTAATGCAGTAATTTGTAGTTTGATGGATATATTTTTTCCTGGCAATTTAAGAAGTTTGTATTATGAGTGTTTTTAGTTCTCGGTAAAGAAAATATGAAAACTGATGTATTTTTAGATAGGAAATAATTTTAAAATGAGACTGCATTGTGTTTTCGACATGAAAATACAGTTTCTGTGAAAGCTAAGGCAGGTTTTTAAATAAAACTTAATGTGAAATGGGGATGTTGTTTTGTTTGTGAAGATGGCATTTAGATCAGTGAACCCAAAGCTATAAACCTTACTGTGCTTTGCAAGCTATAGATGCACGGAGTTGTTATGATCAGAAAAAATAATTTTGTCCAAGGCAGTTTTTCCTACTTGTAAATATGTGGGGTTTG